ATATTCTACTAGAATCTGATATATTCTACTAGAATCTGATATATTTTACTAGAATCTGGTATATTCTACTAGAATCTGATATATTCTACTAGAATCTGGTATATTCTACTAGAATCTGATATATTCTACTAGAATCTTGTATATTCTACTAAATATTCTACTAGAATCTGATAAATTCTATTAGAATCTTATATGTTCTACTAGATTCTGATATACTCTACTAGAATCTCATATATTCTACTAGATTCTGATGTGTCGGATGCCGAAGAGATATTTGAGTTTTGTCCGCAATTCATTCAGTGCCGTGTGCCGTAAGTATTTTTTTCCAGAATTCGGAGATTTTTTCGAGGCTTTTTGTGGTTTCATTAACCTAAATCTTTTTAAATGACATAAAAACTAAAAATCATTTAAACATAAAGCCAAGCATTTGAAACAAAGAATATTTCAGCAATGATAGGACAATATTATTATCAAAGCAAATTTTTATATTTGTATATGTACTTTTTAGGATTTTCAAGGTGCATGGAAAGGAAAAGAAACTTACAATGATTGTGGAGAAAGGGAGCTCCCTTCCCTTTAAGAAAATGTAAGAAATGTTTAAGAAAGCTTTTCCTAAAATTTATTTTAGTTATTATATCACAACTTTGCCAACAGCCATTATTAATTGTGAAATTTTGCTTTTTTTCAATTTGGGTTGGATGTTATCTATAAATTTCATATTTCATTGAATTGACCGTGACAGGGGTTTCACACAAAATGGCCTTAATATAGTTATAATATTCCAGGGGGGATACCAAATTGCGGAACACTATATCAATTAATTAAAATTAGGTCGGCCATTCCTTTAAATATTATATTTAAGGGAATTAAGTTCTTGCTACAAACGATGATTTTTAAACTAATTATCTTTACAACCCAATGTCAATTCACCAAATTGTTATTTTAATTATTTTTGTGTTTAAATCACCATCTCATTCGTCGAAAATATAAACTATATAAGTCTAGAGATACTAGGGTTTTTTAATTGAATAAAATTTTGAAACTTTTGAAATCAAAATTACTATTTTTATTGAACTGTGCCACTTTCGAATTTGCAAAATCTCCAATGCAAAAAAGGATCAGTTAAACCGTCTTTAAAGACATATTTACTTCACTTATTTATAACAATTATAATTTTGGTTCATTCAAAAAAGATTATTGGTGATTCAAATTAAAAAAAATATAATTTTCTAATTCGTCAGTGAGCTTGAAGTTGAACTAGCTTAAAAATCAATACTGGTTCAACTACATTTCTCGTTGAAAAACTCCTGATTTTAGGGTAAACACATATCCAGTTGCGGACTCAGCAGAAGCTCCTCCTTCGTCTTCTTATTCTTCTTCGAGCCCAAATGAGTCATTGAATATGTCTTCAAAAGAGTCTTTGAATGAGTCTATTGGTTCATCAGCAACAATCCAATCTAGTCAATTAGAGATCTGCAGAAACCACGGGTATAAACATTAGGGCATGCATTTTAGTTTTTTCATTCACTTGGTATTTTTTCTCTTTTTATACAAGTCCCCTGAGTAATTTATAAAATAGTATTCTTTGCTTTTTTATACTTAAGATGTTACGCTAACAAAAGGAGGCTTTTCATCTATGACATGTTGCATGTAAACATTTAATAGATTTTATGGAGCCTCCTGAAAGCCCAAAATGTTTTTTTAAAGATTGAAAAACAATGTCTAGCTCAAAAATTTCTAGACAAAAAAAAAGACTTATGCTTTGTCGCTGGTTTTTTTGATCCTATAAACTTTGAAACGGCTGAAACGTTCTGGTCCAATTTTTGTGTGGAACTTAAAAATTTACATTTTCGTGTTTCAGGGGTAGTTTTCTTGGGGGGGGGGGGGG